AATTTCCTGATTTTACATGTTTTCAGAATTTCTAATTTGCAGAACTTTACAGCAATGACTTTTGCCATCGATGGTTTTGGGCTCTAGACAGTTTAAAGTCGCATAAATTGAGGGATTTTGCATAGCTTAAAAACGTAAAAATAAAGGGGAATATTGATTATGAGGGTGGGGTTCCTGCTTCGAATTGAAGCTCAGGCATTGTGCCCCTAGAAATAATTTTCTTTCTACTTTAGAATGCTGGATTTATCTAATAAAAATAAATATAAACTTAAGTAAAAACTCATAATCCTGCGTAGGAAAATAAACTTAATATTTTCCCCAGAAAAGTTAATTAATGAAAATACTTAATGCCAAATATGTGAAGCTGAAATATTTATATCTCCACTCTTCGCTACTGTCCTTCAATTCGTCTCGTTATTTTTCTGCTCCCTTTCAGAAATCTTTAGCTCAATTTTCCAATTAAGTTTGACAAAAAAAAAAAAACACAAATATTTTATGCACATTCCGAATAATCGTATTTCAGTGGAAAATGAATCAACCTTTGTGAGGGAGGGGCATGCACTGCATGGGGATATATAAATCCTGAAAGGCCATAGACAATTTTCATCCGCTTTTGTGTATATGTGTGTGTGTGTGTGTATGTGTGGAAGTCTTGGCCAAAGTTCTGGCTGCTTTGGAATGCGGCGCCAAGTTCTATGCTTTGCTGAAGTTATGCCAGAAGTTGTGTCCCGTGGCTGGGCAGGCTGTGAGTGCTCTGACATCTTTCTTATCCCATTTTCTGTGGTGCGATATGGCTCAGGGTCAAAGGCTGGCCTCATTGATGAGGTTAAGCCGTTCCTTTTGGCTGCTTCTTAGTGCCGCTCGAGTAGGCAGGACTACCCCTCCCCGCCACTCTGCCCACATCAGTCAACGACTGCCCCTCGATGTATGCAATAAATTGGCTTTCCTTGAACTGCCACACGCGCACACAGCGCACACAGCACACACACACACAGCAAAACACACACCTTTAAAAGCTTTCAATCGACTTGCTCCCCTCCACTCTCGACGCTCTCCGCTTAGGCTAAACGGTTAATTCGCCAAAACACAAGCGGCAAACAAATTGTCGAGGAGTGGCGAAGGCTACGGCTAAGGATGGGGATGGGGATGGGGGATGGGGGATTGGCCATTTGTAAGAAACCAAATCGAAATGACATTTCGGTTTAGTGAAAAAGACCAAAAAGGGAGAAGCCAATTTCAAAGCACACGAGGTAGAACAGGAAGCAGACCAGCGAGAGGGAGAGGCAGAGAAAGAGAGAGAGCAGCAGAACTAAAGGCCGAAAAGGAATAAACCAACAAAAAAGAAAAAAAGAAAAAGGAAATGGCAGTGGCAAAACAGGAAGCAGCAGCGGCCGCAGCATAGAAAAGGCTAAATGGGAGTACACTGCAAGAAACGTATATTAATTGAAGATAAATGCTACAAAAATACAAGAAATTAGTTTATTTATCTATTTTCTAACAGTAAACCTAACAGTTAGATTTGTGGAGTGGAGTCAGGCAACGAAAAAGACCAAATTTCACTCTCTATGATTTTCTTTCAGTTAAATTTATGCTCGAAGAAAACTATGCCCCTGCCAAACACTTTGTATTGACGTGTTTTAGTGGCCATTTCTTCCAGTGCAATAGCACTCAATTGCTGTGGCAGTGGCCGAGGCAGAGCCCTCTAGGCAGAAGTAGCGACCGCAGCGCAGCAGCAGCAGCAGAGACAAAGCCAGAGCAGAAGAGCTGGAGAGCAGAAGTCGCAGCAAAGACCCAAGCACAAGAATTAGAGAGCGAGACCGAGACCGAAAAAGAGCCGGTGGCAAAAAAACAAATGGCCAACAATTGACTTGGCCAATAAAGCATAAAGCCGTTAAATTCGAAAATCAATAGCTCCACGGCCGGAATGTTTCCGCCAATTGTGTCCTGCATCCGTTGGTATCCGTTTCGCTTTAAGTGGCCTCACGCTGAAGCTGAGAAGGTCCTTGTGTGTGTATGTGTGTGTTGGTGTGTGTGCGTCAAATGAAGGACGACAAATTGCCAAACGCGCCACGAACATTAAACAATTTTGCAATTTGTTTCCATTATTTTAAGCTGCCTTCAGTGGCAGGCAGGCTAGCAGGCTAGCACCTCCCGCCCTTCCATAATTTTCAGGACACACCCCAAAGGACGGTGGGGTGTGGGAGGTGGGGTTGGGGCAGGCATCTTCTTCCTTGCTCATAATTGTGTCAAGGAGGTTCATTCGCAGTCATTAGCGACAGAGGGCGTGTACAAAGTACACCTCCCACTCTGCCACTCTGCCGCTCTGCCGCTCTACCACTTTTCCGCACTTTCCCGCTCTCTTGCACACATCAACGTGTGCGATGGCCTTGTCGCTCGTGCTCTGGCGCCCGCCTGTGCCCCACCACACTGTCATGTGTCATGTGAAACAGCTGTTAATGGTACAAGTGTCTCCGTTATTTCGTAAAATTTTACATTTTATTCTTCGTCTCTTAATGTCTCTTGTGAAGTGTTGGCGAGGCCATTTACTTAAGCTAAATGCTTACAAGATGTCTGTCTGCATGATGGCACCTAATCTCTGGTGGGATGTTGGACGAGCTGCAGAGCAGAGGGGGAAAAACAGAGATCGAAGTAGATAATCAGTGGGCAGGATTTTCCAATTTGGAAGCAGTCCAACAAATAATGATGAAAATAGTGAAACTATCCAGAGAATAATTAATGGAATTGTGCAAGAAATCAGCATTAAAGGGATACTTTTTTTCCAACTATTTTGTCTATGGAATTTCACATCGGATTTGGCAAAGATACCTCAGATTCGTAGATATATATATATAATCTCTTGTAAATCTATACATTTGTCTCAGGCAAATGAATGATCTTTTTTGTTAAAGTTCCTAGCACATATTACCATAGATTTATAGATTTAATAGTCTAAGAAATTTACGGATTTTCTTGCACTACCAAAACACACATCAACATCTGTCGTAGCAGTACCAAAATATGTGCATCTGTATAGCCTTGAACTCCACAAGTACCACGCATTGAAATATAAAATCATAAATCATGAATAAATAATGCAATTTGTTGCATTTTCATTTCCATTATCACAAAATTTTTATTTATTGTAGCTCAAAATTCCACAGAGAATAATTAGTGTTGCCATAAATTATTTCATATAAATAATTGCATCGCTCATTAGCATAAAATAAATTTAAAATCTCTCATTAAAGCTCTTCTAATCGGGTTTAATGCACATGAAATATGAAATTTCCACAGATCCCCCCCTGTTTAGTATGTAATCCAACTTAATTCCAACATAATTCTGCTGCTGATGTGGATAAACTAGCTGACATTTCATTTCCATATGTTTTATACAACTTAACCATTTCTGTGACAAACTTTATCAAAGGATTAGCTGAGGGGTGTGAAGGCTTCTGTACAACTCTTGCCTCAAAACTTTCAGCAACCGCAAATGTTGACGACATTTGTCTAAGCAGATGCTGCCCTTCAATCAAGAGAGAATACCCGGGCCAATTTGATAATCCTCCATCCATTCAACCATCCGAACATCTGGCCCCTGTTAACACATTTGCTTGGCCCACAAAAGCCACACAGCAAAAGTCTGCTTGCCTGTCAAGCGAAAACTACGAAAACTAAGACATCGCATCAATAAGCCTTAAAAGACTTCATATTGCCGTTTGCTTCGTGACTCTGAACGGCAGCAGGCTAAGCTCCTCGTTCCAAACATTGGATACCCTGGCAGATAAATCCTTTTAAATGATGGATTATGATAATTGAAATTTATTTACATTGAAATCACATCTGAAAACGATGGAAAGTAAAATTCTGTTAAAAATTTAAATACGATTTTCTAGGGTATCCAAGGGGAGAAGGAAGAACAGAAAGAGAGACAGCGAGGTGTTTTAGACACGTGCAGCATTTTGGGAAAGCCAACGGTATCCGCATGCCAAGACACCGGAGTGCAGAGTGACTGACTGAATAAATGAGTGAATGACGAGTGAGTGAGTGAATGAACGCCATCGAGTGAGTGAGTTGGATAATTTGAAATCGTGACAGAGTGTGGTGTGGGCGGCCCTACACGTAGGCCAATGTTAGGGCATGGCCTGATGAATATGTTGAAATCAATCAGGTTAACCGAAAAAGCAACGACACGTTTCCTTCAGCCCCCCCGCCCAGCACAATCTCTTCCCTCAATTGGCTCATGATATGTGACTTGGGTACGTGAAAATTGCATTTCAATTTCTCTCTCTCTCTATGTCTCTTTGGCGCTGTGTCTCATATTGGAAGACGTCACGTCATGTCTTGTCATGTCAGGTGCGTGGGTGGGTGGGTGGTTGCTTTACGGTTATGTGTCGCATGTGCCCTGTCATCTTCAGTGTGCTCTGGGTCGCTGTTGCATTTGACATTTCACTGTTGTATTTATTAAAATTGAAAAAAAAATACGTTTTCCCCACAACAAGAGCAGTTTCCTCATTTTTTTTTACTTCCCTTTATTCACTGGATATTTTTCTTTCTCTCTCTCCCTCTTCCTCTCCTTTTCTATCTCTTTCTCCTTCCCTTTTCTTTCTGTAAACTTGTTAAAAACTCATTATTGTGTTTGAAACAGGTCAAATTCTGTGTTTTTTTTTCCGCATACACTGGCAGCGGGTATGATGTTGTTTTTAGTTCCATCTGGCCAGAAGCTTACACAGATTGTTGGCTCTTAAAATTTATCACATAATGTTAAGGGAAATTGAGGAGACTCATGACTAGCACTTTAGATTGGGAGTTCACCGCTTATATTGAATATTTTACATATATAATATATTAATAAAATAAATTAGCTAGACAGTTTTAGGAACATTGGCACTGGCTGTCAATATATTTTTCGTTATATTTGCATGAATTTGCCCCAATCACTCGTCTCTCTTCGTGGCCGAAGATGAGAAAATCGAGAAAGTTGCTAGTTTTCTGCTATTTTGGATTCGTTATTTCATAGCTTAAACTTTATTAACAAATTGAAGTTAATGTCTTACGAAAGTGTTGCAGAGCAACAGCAACAAAACAACAGCAGCAGCCTGTCCCCCGATAATCGAAGCAATAATTTGTGTATTTCTAGGTACTTTGTGTGTAATGTGTACAAGTCTTTTTCTGCTTCCCTTTGTACGAAATGGTTCCAGATCTGGCGATGCGGCGCTCGAGCATCGCCGTGGAGAAGCTGTCACAGTTGCCCCCCAGCTCCTGGAAGCCGACAATATAGTCAGTTGTCATTCGGTCCTTCACCAGCAGAATCTCGGGTGTATGATTGATGCGCAGGCGTTGCTGCAGGAATTTGGCATCCTCGATATTAATTTTGCAGAACTTGGCCTCCAGATGCTTGGCGGCCAGGAGCTTCAGGTGCGTGTCCATGATGCGGCACTGCTGGTCGCCAGTGCGATGGAACAGCAGAACGATATTGGCATATTGTTTTGACAATTCGAAAAACTCCTTCTCGCCGGCCAGCTGTGTGTAGGAGCCATTTTGGAGCCAGTCTGGCTTTTTTTTGTTGCCAGCAGTCATTTTTGTATAAGCTTTTGGTCGCTTTGGCTAAGAGATTTATAAGTTGTATTAATAATTCACGTAAATTTTAAATTTAAATAATTTACCCACACAAAAAATGTTTTCAGAATGTTTTCAGCTTTACAAGTTGTGAAAAAGTGAATTGGATCTGAGCCTAAAAACTCACAGATTGCTGAAACATTTATAAATTTGTTTGCTGTCAAAATACTGACAGTGTGGCAGCCTGAGATTAGAAATGAATTCCGTAAATGTATAGTAAAGTATTTTATATTATCCCCTGCTCATCCTCTCTCTTACAGTGCAGCTTAGCAGTAAGGGGTTTCAATTTGTTTGTCTCAGTTAGCTGTAGATCGTCATGTGTATATGCACAGCCATGGACAGCCCATGTATCGAAGGAAAGTGTATCCAAAGCTGTAACTTCCAAAGAGCTGTCCTTCCATTCTTATTTGTTGGCTGTTTCATGTGGTTCGTGTTGCTTATTTGGACACTCTCTGTTGGTGTCCGTGTGTCTGTGTGTGTGTGTGTGTGTGTGTGTGTGTGTATGTTGTGGCACTTGTATCGCATATCAATTAAAAGTTTCGCCCCAAGTTGTAATCAGTTTGAGTGGAGTCTGTGTCTGTGCCCTGTGCCCTGTGCCTGTCTGTGTGTTCTTTGTGTTGCCTGCTTTTGGGCGTGCCCAAGTGATTCGGCTAATGATTCCCGGTTACATGCCACGGCACAGCATTTGTTGTTGTTGTTGCTACATTGTATTCGCTTTGTTTTCCGTTTCACTGGATGCCATGGGCTCTGCTCTTGTTCGCAGTGTAAAAGGGGGGCGGCAGCCACTGCTAATGGCTGCTCTAATTTGCCAGATTAAAGGTGGCTTTAAGTGGCAATCGGATTGTTGGCTTCATAAGCGGATAAACGAGTAATTATTTTTAGATTTGAGTTGTGTTTGGCGTGTGTAAATATCAACAATGGGAAGCTAAATAGCAAACAATTTGGCAAGACCTGTGAAATTATCTAAAAGATTTAGCGATTTTTTTTTTTGTTGCACTTTATCTCCCTGAATGCTTTCCCCTTGCATATGTATTTTTGTTTCCAATAAATTGCATTCCACAGCCCAAAGAAAGTCGCACAGCCGACAAATCAATAAAATTAAAGCAAAACCTTGAGCAATAACGGCAAACCCCCCCAATGGCAAGGGAGGGAGCTGCAAGGGAGCTGCAGCCATGTGCCAGCCATTTAGTTAGATCGTTATAAAAACACTCTCTCGCATCTGCCTGTGTGTGTGTGTGTGTGTGTGTTGGTGTACAGCTATATCCATATCCATACAGACACGACGCCCATAACTACCCAAAACCATCGCATCGCATCGCTATATCGATATATCGGGGTACGCTGTGGCCTGGCCTGCGGTTGAACGTGATTTTTCAAATGTCACGCACACACGGAATGATATGCGGCGGAGGTGGTGGGTGGCTGGTGGGGTAACAGTAAATCTGTTTTGCGTGGGTGCGAAAAAAAAAAGAGAAGAGAATTCAATGAAACGCTTTCGCTTGAAAACTGCCAGCGATAACACAAAACTATTCATAAAACGCCGCTTGTAAACGTGTAACTGATAGAACTAATCGGATAATTGCAATGCAATGGATAGCTGCTGGCAGATGGCAGAGGGTGTTACGTGAGGGAGCCGTGGAATGCTAAAGCTCAGACAGGTAACAAGCCCAGTCAATCGGCTGGCAGATAACCAGGAGAAGTACACCGCAGAACCTTCCTAGAGGATGGTTCCAAATGGAACTGCTTGTATTTACTCGTAGGAGGGACTTGGCTACTGGTACCAGGTAGAGGAGCATACCTCTGCTTAGTAAAATATCTTTTTCTGAGAATTACTTTGTGGCCGGAAATTCGAACCATTTATTTCTTAGAACATCTAAAAAATACTGTAACCGTATGCTTCCGTCCATCAAAAACAGCGGCGGTGGATACCTGCCCAATTGCATTAATCGCCCTCACAAAGGGCGATTGATGCTGCACAAGTGAATGCTGCAAAAGAGAATGCCCGAGAATAGTGCAAAAAATAAAAATAAAAAAAAATTGCGTGTGCATGACGCTTCGCTGATAAGGGTTTTTTTTTTTTTCTCTGCTATTGTTGGACAGCTCAAAAAAAAAAAAAAAAATATCTCTTAGCCCTTAGCTTCCTGGGAGAAACCTTTGAATATAAAAAATGTATTGAAACCTTGGGTGTCTGCCACAGACATAGGGGGGAGAGAGAGAGAGAGAGCTTTCTCTGTGTGTGTTTTAATAAATATGCTGCGAGGCAACATTTATTTTACTTTTACTTTGTGTTTAACGTAATTGAAATGAGCGACGACAGCGACGACAACGACGACGCAACGTCAAGCAATTTTATTTCATTGTGACTCCTCCGCCTGTGCCACGTCCAGTGCCGTGCCACTGCCTGGCAGCGTAATTTCTTTTCAATTAACAATAACGAAACGAAGCGAAATTGGTAAAAGCAAGAGTACTAGTAGCTCCGCTCCGCAGAAAGTTGCTGCTGCTGTTTCTGCTGCTGTTGCTGGTTGGGGAGAATGCGGTGGCAGCTCTACAAAATGGCTCAAGTCTTTAATACAAATAATATTATAAAAAAAAATAATGCTCGCACAAACAAACACAAATTGTGTTTAATTTCTGCCACAAAAGAGAGGCTGCCTGCAAGAGTCAGAGCCCGGACCCCGGACCCCTTAGCTCTAGCCGAGCTGCCCCATTCATTGCATTGCCCACCTTTTCTTTCATTTAAGCCCTCGGAACTGGGACAGTTTGCAAAAAGCTTAACTTTATTTTCAGTATGTTTTTGTACAAGTTGGTCAACAGTTTTTCGTTCTGTTTCTGTTACGGTTCAAGGGGGCCTACAGCTCCACTCTGCTGTGTTGGGCTGGCTGCTCTTTCTGTGGCTGTTATCGCTCGTCATCAGACTTTTGCTGTCTTTTCATTTCATTTCATTTGATTTCTTTTCATTGCTCCGCACAATTTCCGCAGCGACATTTTACAATTGTCCATGACTGTCAGGCAGCAAAAAAAAAAACACTGAGCGAAAAACATATTCCAATAAAATAAAATTGCAAGACTTTTGATTTATTTCTGAGCTAGAATTTGTACCTTCTCTTTAATGTATCCAGCCAGTTTATAGTTTTTCAAGAATATATTCGATATTGGCATGACTATTTTTCTGCTCAGTGCACGAGTACTTGTGCGTGTGTGTGTGTGCTTTCCAGTTGCTGATCTCTGTCCATTGCCACACCAACCATACAGCACGGAAACATTTTTCAGCTGCCTTTTCTCTCTGTTGACACAAATCATTCGCTGGAAGTGTCGCTCCCGTTTCCACTTCTTCACCATTTCCCTCTCTCTCTCTCTCTATCCTGTATCCCTCTTTCTCCCTGTCGTTTTCCCCTGACGGCCTGCATTTCTTGTCTACTTTTGTGTTTGGATTTGGTGTCCAAATGTGTGGAGGCCCTGCTGTCCGTATCGGTTACACTCAAAATGGAATGGAAAAAATGCTCTAGACGATGGCAAAAATGTTTGTACAGCACAGTTAAGAGTGCTCCAAAAAAAAAGAAAGAGAACACTCTGCTCGATTCTTGCGGGGAATATGCAGGATAGGGAATGGATAGCACATGGGTAGTGGAGAGAGAAAAGTGTCTTTTGAGGGTCTTTTAAAATGTATTTCTGTTTGCCAAGCAGTTAAAGAATTTAATCTATGTACATTTTCAAGTAGAAACGGAAGCAGCTATGCTCCAAAAGCAAATAGAAGGAATATGGTAGGTAGGTGCAAGAAGCGAGAGCCTCGATCTATCTATGACTCAAGGGAAAGGATATTATTGGGATTCCCTTTTTGTGCAATCTTCTAGCCTGGCTCCCAATCAAAATCCCTTTCGTTTAAAGTCGCATATTTATCAAGTATCCTTTTTGGCACTCCATTCATCTGCATTGCTAGTTGCTGCCAACTGCGAAGCAACCACATTCTGTTTCCAAACATTCCTAACCCAGAAAAGCCAGAACCCAGAAGCAAGAAAGAAGCAAACGAACAACGAGCGAAACAACTTGATGAACATTTTTGCACATGTCTATTTGGACCGGACCACAACGCCACTCCAACCCATCCCATCCAATCCCATCCCGCTCCGCGCCGAACAAAGACAAATAATATGTAATCCAAAACATTGTTCAAGTGTTCCAGTTTTTCCAGAGAGTGTACGACCACGAGTATGTGTGTGCTTATAGAACATGAGAATGGAATGGACACACAGACAGGAAGGCTATCCATCTCTGTATGAGGTTCCTGGGTACCCGAAGCTTAAGATACCCTGGAAGATTTCACACTGTAATGGATTTTCCATACCCTATAAAAGGGCATCCAAACTGCAGTAGAAGAGCATCCCCATAGCTGATAGAACCTGACCAGTTGCCGTTGTTTGCCAAGCCGTTATTCGAGTCGATCTCCCCGCCTATTCATCAGCAACATCATGTGGCTCATGATGAGGAGCCCGAGCCGGCTCTTTGGCTGCTGCTGCTGCTGCTCCTCCTCCTTTTCCATTTCCATCTTGGGCCATCGACTCGACTCGCCTTGCCTCGCCTAATGGATGTCTCTTTGTTTGGGCTCTGCATCTCTGCCGTATCTCGCTTATTGATGCTGCATCTCTCGACGACTGCCACTCCACATCATGGCTCCACCTTCCGCTGTCCACTCCAGTGGACTCCCCTCTGCACTCCCCTCTGTACACCACTCTACCTAGCGGATGAAATTGCGCAAGCAAACAAACACATCCATTTTGCAGTGCTCTCGCCGCCTGGCCCCGTTGTTTGTTTGGATTTCAATCCAACTATCCCCACTATCGGCCATTGGCAGTCGCTGCTCTCTCCAATAGAACCCTCCCATCATACACCATACACCATACCTATGTACCATTCACATCCCATCTATCCTACTCCTGGTTTTCCGTTGTGGAATAAATTTACAAACAAACAAAAAATCGGTTTAGCCAGCCGTTTGCCGTTTGCCGTTTACTGGACCATGTCGAGCCAAAAGTCGAAATGCTGGCCTGTCAATGCTGGCCAAAATCGAAACATTATGCAAATGCTCTTTGATATTATTGAGGAGTTTAGACAGAGTAAACACTGATCCATTTTGTGGTACATGGATGAATGGATTTTGGGGTGTAGCATCAAGGGGGGAACATTTGTGAAATGTGTAATACTAAAATGGCTTTGGGTTTGGTTCAAGAAATTGTTTACCTCTCCTGTCGAATTTCGAGAGTTTTCTAATAAGAACAGCAAAAAAAAAAAAATACTCGAGTGGAGCATAAATAAGCCTCATCATGCACACGACATGTATTCTTAGAATTCTCTTTGGAAGCATTCGCTTGTGCATCAATGCCATGTGCCATGTGGAAGCGACGGGAGCTAGGACTTTCTCTCTAGATATATTTTGGGTTCTACATATACATAAATGAAAAAAAGTTTGAAGAAAAATAAAAAAAATTATTACCCTTTAGTCATGTAATTGTAGGGCCTAGATCAAGTAAAACCATTCGTATAATGTTCATGTATTAATTAAAAATTCTTAGTGCTGATCTTCTAACAGAATCGAGGCATTCGATTGCTGAACCGAAGACTCAACCGTATTAGATTGATCTTTTAGTTCCGATACCAGCTAAACTTGTTCTTTATATTCTTACCGATGTTCCTCGTAAGCTCCGCTGAACTCCAATAAACTGCACTAATTTACCAATAAACAAACAAAAAAGATTTGCATCTTTTGCTACATCTCTGAGCAATGCCAACAATTTCATCTAGTTTCTGGGAACCAGTTCCACATGCCATGACCATTCACGTGCCTACATCTCATCTCTCCCCGAAAAAGGGAAGAAAAATACATGCAAGAAACAACAAGAAGAAAAAAAAACAAGAAAAGCAAAACAAAGGAGCGAAAAAGAAAGAAATGAAAAAAAATCAAGCAGTAAAAGCCAATGGCAAAAATTGTGTCATAACATTAGCCGTAAAAACGAGTTGGTTGGCCTAAAACCTGAACCTATCCCAAAAACCAAACGAAATATATACCCAATGATAATCATAATGATGATGATGATAATCATAATGATGGTTGGGTCTTGGTGGTGTCTGCTCGGATTGGGGTTCGGGGACCTGTTTTCAAGACCAACCACTGCAGTGCAGCACAAAAGGCAATGGCTGGATCCGTCTGTCTCTCAATCCAGTGCTGTCCTGTCCTGTCCTGTACGAGTATGTTGACTTATGGGCCAGAGCCAGGCCAGAGTCAGGCCAGAGCCTGTTTGACAAAAGTGGGTCGACTTGGTCGTCTTGGTCGTTGGTCTTGCTTTTGGTCATGTGTGGAGTGTGGAGTGTGCAGTGTGCTTGTGGAATGTGATTTGTAGCCTGTACAATGTGTGAAAATGGCCTGACAACAACTTGACTTTATCCCCCCTCTCTCTCTCTCTCTCTCTCTCTGTGTGTATTGCAGCGAATGTGTTTCAATGATGTTACTGCCTTCGGGGCGTTCGAATAGTGATGTCTATCCGCTACAAAGTGCCAACAGCAGCACAACAGCAGCCTCAGCCTCAGCCGGAGCAAAGCCCTTGCTACTGACACGAACATCATCGCCACAATTGACAGCGTTGCCCACAACAAATGGCACCAACGCCCACACGACACTTACTCGCCCACTGAATGGTGTAGCAGGAGCAGGAGCAGGAGCCGTCGCCGGAAGTCCGTCACAGTCGCAGTCACAGTCCGGAATACAGCCGATAACAACAGGAGGAGGAGCGGTAGCAGCAACAGGAGCAGCAACAACGGCAGGAGCAACGGAGGCGACAACAACGGAGCCTGTCAGCTGTGGAATTGGGGTCGGCGCTGGCCCTGCCACTGCCACTGGCACTGGCACTGGCATCTATGGGCCACTTTTGGGTCAAAGCCATCTACATGGACATGGAAGTAACGCTGTTGGCGTTGCCGGAAATTGGTCCGAAATTGATGGACACTTGGAGACAATACAGGAGAAGCTAAAGCTTGGCTGGACCGTGCATTCGGGCAAGGAGGGAAGACTCTATTATTGCAAGTGAGTGAAATGACAAGTATAATTTATCATACGAATCCACTGCCAAAAATATATATAGGAAATCTGAATCGTTGTTGGTGGAGGGATTGTGGAAATCATAATTATTATTTAAAGTATATTTCGGGAATGAAAAGTGGGGGCTAAAATGGGGGGTTATAATGGAAATTGTTGTTTTATGTTCCTGGCCTTTGTTATTTATTGTACGAGTTTTGTACATTTTCCATGTCTCTGAACAAAAATCTTATAGGCAAAAATTTAAGCATAGACCAAGAATATTTTCCTAAAATTTAATTGAATATGATTTTCCATCTTTAAGACACTCAAAAAAATGTGAAATTTTCACATAAAATCCTAAAGTTAGGCGCAGAATTCTGTAAATTTAAATCACAAAATATATTCGAGATTTAAATAATTTAACTTAGTTAAATTTAGTTATCCCGCTTAAAAATATATTCAGGATTGCCTGTTGCCCTTTTAAACTGAATTAGTCATTTATTTAAAGTAATTTGCAAGTTGAAGAGACATAATAGGATTTTATTGGGAATCCTTGAAAGTTTTGTCGCTTTTAAGTTCTGAGCAGCCCATTAAATATTTAATTTTTCAACAAAAGTTTTCCTCCAAATCCCGTATTGAAATATTTAAAGAGTGCCCTGCCCTGCCCAGCCCCACTTGGGGAAAGTCACATAATTGTGTCGCCAATGCATTTGATATTTAAGGGAATATTTTGGGGCTGGTAATTAAGCCTACTTGGTATCTTTTTGGACTACTCTTTAAATATTGGAATTGTGTAAGCTTTAAGCTGTGTAAATTATGCCACAAAAGAATATTAAAAAGTGTGGAGGAAGCTTGACATTTATGGAACCATTGGCGTGGCCAAAGTTTCAACATTTCAATGGCTGTCCCACTGCCGGATTGACTGACGGAAATACTGTGTTGTGTCCTGGCCTGGCCTGGCCTGGTTAGATGAATGCGAGTGTGAATGTGCAAGTGAGTGCTGTGAATGAGGGAGGTGGGAGGTGCAGGAGGGTGACTGGAATGGCTGCTTCTCGGCTCGGCTCGGCTCCGGTGCTGCACATAAATTGATTATGCGCAAAATTCTATTAAATAATTTTACACTTTGTTGCACATCAAACTGAAAGCGCACAAAATGCCATAACCGAGGCGACTCGCCCACCCAACCCAACCCAACCCAACCCAACGCCGTGGAATGGCTGAGGATGGCAGCGATGGAAACTGAATGAGTGAACAGCTCTGGTTGGGTCCCCGGGTACGGACATGGACATGGACGCGATACCCCCCGCTCTCTTTCTCTATCTTTTTCTCTGTGTATCTCTCCGCCTGCAGGAAAGTGTGCAAAAGTGCAAAACTAATTATCACAATTGTGTGCAGCCAGGAAATGAAGAAAGACAGCAACGGAAGCCACCAAGGTGGCCTGATGTGGGCTGGAATTGGATTTGGTTCTGTCACTGGGTCTGGGTCTGGGTCTGGGCTTTGAGTTGATGTTGGGCTTGGCCTGTGGGTTTGGCTTTGCTTTGCTTTGCTGTTGGGGCTGCAACTGGGGCTGGAGCTGGGTCTGGTTCTGGGACTTGTGGCACGATTATGGGTTGCCTGTTTATTGCATAGTCAAGCAAATAACCCAATTAGCGTTGATTAATGTCAATTGAAATGCATTTTCAGGGCCCAGCCACAGCGAAAACACACACACAATCAAGGGTCTACTTTAGTCTAGGGGTAAGCTAAGCCACAAAACAAGTCTAGCCACAAGTTCAGGGTCATTTGTGGGTTTTGGTTTTCGTGGGATTTATTTATATGGAAATGAATGGAGGCAGAGACAGGAGGTCTTTGGTATCGTTTATTTATTGTTTTCCATCCCGTGAAATTGTCTGTCATCAAAGCGATAATATTTAAGCCATTCATGGCGTTGTTGTTGAGGAAAGCATTGAGAACGTTTGAGCTGTGGGGGAGAGAGAAATCCTTTGAGAGTAACTTTGCGTACTTCCGCATTTAAATGCTAAGTCTCACTGGGAGAGAGCAGGCCAGAGCGAGTGAGAGAGTAACGGACATTTATTTTCACATTCCGATCGTATGCACATGAAAATTCATTTGCTCTAGCTTGCAGAATGAAGAGGGACCTAAAGAAGAGGGACTAAATGATAAGGATGTCTTCTTTGTTCATGAATCTATACTATAATATTTTATGCCCCTGTACAAGTACGGGTTATAAATAAACCCCATATAAATATACCCCACAACTAACAATCAAATTATATAAAACTCTTCTCAGCCCGCTTTTTATTCCGTGAGTGAAATTAGTTGCTAAAAAATATTTTTTAATTTCATATATTTTACAAAAATTTATTGGCAATCAATTGCTGACATTTATTACCCGCAATTCGTTCGTTTTAATTGTTCTTAAATAAACTTTAAAATATAGTTTTAAACCAACCCACACACACGCAGAACCCTCCCGACACAGTTCCAAGCCCCAAATTTAAATTTTAATTAAATTTAAATTGAATTCCAATGACATGCTGTTCTATTTTGCAGTCACTTGGCACAAACATCGGGCTGGCTGCCCGCCTGCGAGGATTGGAGCAAGCATGAGGAGCTCTCCTATGGCTGGGAGCGTGCCATAGACTCCAAGGGTCGTTCCTACTACATCAAGTGAGTGTTTTAAATGCCAATTCTTTTGAGGCTTTCCCTACAGTATATGTATATTCTCCCTGTAGCCATTTAAACAAGACGACCACGTATGAGGCGCCCGAATGCATACGCTGGGACGAGCATCCGCCGGAGCCGCGACTCGTCCACCTGCAGCGGAATGCCAGCCTGGGCTTTGGCTTTGTGGCGGGCAGCGAGCGGCCCGTTATCGTGAGATTCGTGACAGAGGGCGGTCCCAGCATTGGCAAGCTGCAGCCTGGCGATCAGATACTCTCGGTGAACGGGGAGGATGTCAAGGACGCGCCACGGGATCATGTCATCCAGCTGGTGCGTGCCTGCGAGTCGCAGGTCAGTCTGCTGGTCTGCCAGCCCATGGCGCACTGCATCCTGCCGGGCCGCAAGTCCACGCTGCTGTCGGCGGGCAAGCGGGCCAAGCTGCGATCGCGTCCCAGTCGCGTCCGATTCGCCGAGAGTGTGTGCGTCAATGGGGCGCCACTGTTTCCGGTAAGCAGTGGAACATACATGCATGACTCGTGATGCATCGATCTATAATTTATTTTAAATTTACTTTCTCTTTAGCCGTCGGCTTTCTCGCTGGGCGATATATGCGTGCCGCCGATGGCCAATGTGCTGAAGGTGTTCCTCGAGAATGGACAGACCAAGTCCTTCAAATACGATGCCACCACCACGGTGCAGGATGTGGTTAGCTCGCTGCTGGACAAGCTCTGTCTGTGCTGCGGTGAGCTCTTCAGTCTGGTCCTGGAGCATGTGAAGAGCCTCAAGAGGAACAAGCTCACCCTCTTGGATCCCCAAGAGTCCTTGGCCAGGGTAGGTTTAAACTTTTCCTCTATGGGAAAGCTTTGATTAAAGCTCTGATTTTGTTTTCTGCCTTTTTAGATTGCTGCTCGCCCGGGTGCCCACAAGCTGCGCTGCCTGTTTCGCATCACCTTCGTGCCCATCTCGGCCGCCGAGCTGGCCCAGCGGGATCTCCAGGCCCTGGACTATCTGTATATGCAGTGCTGCAACGATGTCAACCAGGAGCGCTTCGCACCCGAGCTGCAGCCGGAGCTGGCACTCCGCTTGGCCGCCCTACACATGCACCAGCACGCCCTGGCCAATAATTTCTCACCCGCCAAGCTGACCGTCAAGCTGGTCGAGTGAGTGCAGCCATCAGCCCCCATCCAGCCCCTGGCATAACTAATAACTTTGACTTACCTTTCAGACGCGAGTTTGGACTGGAACGCTTTGTGCCAGTCAGCCTGTTCGAGGGCATGAAGCGGAAGGAGCTGCGACGCCTGATCTCCCACTTCTTGAAGCTCAATGCGGAGATGACGGGATCGTCCAGCAAGGTCCTAACACAGCTGCAGGTGGGTAACATTTGTGGCTGCTTTGTAGATGCAGGAAATTTGCAATAGCAATAGAGAATTTCCCTGTGAAATGGATCATAATATGAGATGTCCAAAGACAATGTCACACTGAAAGAATACTCTCAGTGTTTTGCCTTCGACTGGCTGCGTATTTTCTACTCCTATGTGCCTTTTCTTCTTCATTTGATTGTCCGTTATTCTTGTGCCTTGACTTGAACTCCATTCTACGAGGATCGTAGTACCAAGATGATGAGTGTAATAATAAATATATTAAATATACCCTAGAAGTCAGTGACTAAAAATCAATTGAGAGAACGCCACAGCACACCGAAAAATAATATCCAAGAATAATAATAAAAATCCCACCATTGATTACTTTAACCCCCTTCGCAGGCCAAACTCCATTATCTAGATATAATCGCTAGTTTACCAAGTTATGGAGCCAAATGCTTCAGCACAAACCAAAGAGAAGGCGTCGAGCGTGTCCTGTTGGTGAGTCCGCGCTTTGGCCTCAGTCAGATATCGAGTGCCCGCAATTCGGTGGTGAGTTACCCCCCAAAGCCAATGCCCACAGGGAACCATCCTTTAATCTGTTCTCTTTTTTTGTGTGCAAGCAGCCACAGCCGATTTCGGCCATCGAGGAATTTACCCACGTGGTGGTGAATCGCGAGGACGATGTGACCTGCAGTGTGTCCATCTTTATGCTGGGCGATCGAGCAGTGAAGTTCATCATGGAGGATCGGGATGCGTGCGAGTTTAGCCTGGTGCTGGGCGGCTACTATCGCCTGCTGACGGGTGAGTTTCCCGGCCATTCCCGCCAAGATTTCTGATGCATTTCAATCCGATTCTCTGCCAGGCAACATGCTGAATCTGCTGAAGGAACGAGACCCCTCGGACGAGGATAATGCACCTGGCTTCTTGTCCCAGCACACGGTGCTGCCCGCCGGTTGGAGCTACCTGCTGCCCTACCACACGCGAGCGCACAGCGTCAACTTCCTGATGACGCCGCCCTACCATCCCGTGACGCAGCTACACCCACAAGTGGGTGGTGCAGGCCCCCCGCAGGCTCCGTCGCTGCCCTATGTGATGGACCTGGATCTGCACAGTGTTATGGCCACGGAGCTGCTGGAGGAGGCGGCCAAGGACTCGGGGCTGAGCGACAGCAGCGGCAGCAACTACTGCGAGGGCCGCGTCCAGTCCTCCCATCAGATGGCCAGCGTGGAGGCCAAGAACGAGCAGGTGCTGCGCCGTGTCCAGGAGCTGCAGCATCTCGTCCAGACCTCCGAGCAGTATCTGAGCGAACAGGAGCAGGGACTCGGCGGCGTCGGCCAGACCATGGCCGTCCTGGAGTTCGATTCGGACTGCGACAGCCTCAACAGCAGCAAAGTCTCCTCCACGGAGGAAACTTCGAATGTCCTGAGTCTGGGCGTTTCTCTGGCCCAGCACATCTCGAATCCCCTCAAGCACAGCGACTCGCTGACGCTGCTGGCGGAGACCATCAGCCACGATCTGAGCGGCATCACGCAGGGCCTCAATGCCATACCGGAGACGGCGCCAGTGTCCTCCTCGGCACCGGCCACCCCGGCCACGCCCAAACGGAAGCCGAGCCTCTGCAGCACCTCCAGTCCGCGGCCACAGCGGAAGATGAACGGCTTCAGCCAGCTGCTGAGCGATCTGCAGGCCCTGGGCACGGACTTTTCGCAGAGCGAAAGCGACTCGGAGTCGGTGGCCTCGCCCGCCCAATCGCCCACGGCACGGAGGCCACAAATAATGCTGCTCCAGGCGGCAGGAGGCTCCGCTGTGCCGGCATTGGTGGCACCGCCCAAACAGCCGCTCTCGCAGCGCAGCAGCTTCGGGCTGCACAGCCCCGACGGCAGTCACTTCGGGGCCGAAACGAAGGACTACAATCTGCGGGAGTATCTGCAGCAGCTGAAGGAGATCAGCAATGCCTCGTCGGCGGACACCGATGTGGCGGCGCGCCAGCTGTCGGAGATCTACGGCTTCGAGGTGCGCGAGGACACCTTCATTGAGACGGACACGGATCTGATCGATTTGCGTGCCATACCGCCGCCCCAGACGCCCGACGAGCTGGATTCGCTGTCTCTGATGAATGCAGCGCCGCCCAAGGGCTTCGAGGGGCGCGCCGAGGAGTTGGACAGCTTCCTGCAGCAGATAATGGTGGCACCGCCCACACAGAAAGCAACGCCCGCCAAAGAACTCACCCCGGAGGAGATTATGTCCTTTATTATCCCACCGCCACCCAATCTGGAGCAGCATCAGCAGCCTCCACAGCAGGTGGCACCGGCACCCATGGAGACGGAATCCCTGTACAGCAATTCGGTGCAGGCCAAACGGGAGTTCTTCCAGTCCGTGGCCAATGGGAACAATAACATCAGCAGCATCAGCAGCAGCAGCAAGGAGCAGTCACCGCATGTCATCGAGTACGCCACCGTGGAGCGGAAGAGCAAATTTAGCTGCTGTCCCACCACCAAAAAGGAGGAGGCACCCACTCCGACAGCAGCAGCAGCAGCAGCTGCAGCACCGCCCGAGGTGCAGCCACCACCCAGGACACCCACCGCTGAGCAGCTGTCGCCGCCGCCCGCAAGACCACCCAAAAGCGCAGAGCTGCTGCAGCGCTACTCGCCCAAAAAGCAGGTGAGGATTATGGCCACACACCAGCAGCAGCAGCAACAGCAACAGCAACAGCAGCAGCAGCAGCAGAGGGACAACAGCAGGGGACCGCCACAACTGCCACCTAGAGGCAGTCCCACCTTCGATACGCAGCAGGCAACAGCCACAGCGGCTGCCATGATGTCGGTGAGTGGTCCGAAGAAACCCCCACTGCCGCCCATTGCCAGTCGCCCGCGTCCAACGAATGGCATGTCTCCAGCACCACCTAGTCCTGCACTACCACCCGCCCACTACTCACCGCCCATACCGGCCACGACACGCCTACCCAATGCTCATTCCAATGGCCATCAGCAACAGCAGCAGCAGCAACAGATGCAGCAGCAGCAGGTTCCTCTCGTACCAAAGAAGCCCCAGCAGCTGCACGGAGAGAAGCTCTTCCTGAAGAATGGCCACCTGATCGATGGCGAGGCGCTGCTGGGCAAAACGGATGTGGCCATGGCCGGACTGCTCATCCGACTCGATCAGGTGGCCGCCCAGTGTTCGGTCGCACAGTCGGCGGGCGGTGGCACCAGCATTGATGAGGAGAAGTTCCAGCGGGCACGCAACGAGCTGACGGAGCAGACACTGGCCCTGGTGACGGCCAGCAAATTCCTGGTGGCCTCCATGTCGGACATGACGCTGATTACGCTGCCCGAGCATTTGACCTCCTGCCTGACGGCCATACGACGGATCACGGAGCTGGCACAGGACATGACGCGGCACACATCGGCACCGCTGCAGACGCGAAATATCGTGCTGAAGGTGCACGATGTGGCGAGCAGTTTCCGGGAGCTGGTGGGTGTGCAGATGGGTGCGATTGGCGCCGGACAGTTGGCGCTGCAGGCCGAGTGCCTGGCCAATGTTCTGGCCACTCTGCTGCGATCGTTGCGGGTGTTCTCCCCATAGCCCAGCGGAAGTACAGGCGCCGGATCCAGTCCCAACCCTGACATATCGCACGCTCGTCTATCGACGCAACTCTCTCTATGTAAATCCCTAAACACAACCTACATCTAGGATGGCAGCTGCAGCCCCACAACTACTACTTTATATGTGTATCCCCCCAATATAATACGTACGATATATATCATCTCTCTCGAAACTATTTTACAGGTAAAGAGCAACGTCAGAGAGTCGGCGGTCTGATGGCTCTTTAGGCTTAATATCAGCACTGGAACATGGAAGCTCAAACGATGCGGATCGTCTGTCTGTGTGTGTGTGGTATGATGGAATATGGCTATAGAAGTGGCATGTGGCTTTGTTTTGTAATTTTAGCAATATATTATGACATCTGGGATTATGTGAAGGTATCTCGCTGCAGTTCAAAACTCTTCAATCATTCAAGCATCTTAGTGAAGTTTCCCCAAAGCATTTATTGTTTATTTAGTTATCTATTTTTGTGTGCAATCTGTGGAGCAATTTCTTTGTAATTCATTCAGTTTTTGTGTGTTTTTAGATGTTTTTAAATTCAAAGTTTTATATTTTTAGAATTCAAATAAATGGGAATATCTTTGAGGCATGGTTTTCTATTATATTTCCACTCACATTAAGCTTGATGATCTGATCGTAGGAATTTTTTTATTTATCTCCTCTTAAACTCTTCTTTAATTGTTGATATTTTTCTAGCTCAAAGCAGATTTTAATGCCAATAGATTAAAGACTGTTCTATCTCAACTTATGTCATATCTATCTACAATATTAACGGCTATTCTGCAGCTTATTCCATCATATCTGAGCGATCTACAAAATAAAATATCTTAAAAAAAAATAAACATAAATAATAAAAAAAAGAAAACAAAAGAAAATCAAACAAAACGATATCTATTCGAAATCATAAACTAAACAAAAAAAATCAATCACTTTCTCAACTTAACGCATGCAACTAACTCGAATTTCTATGTGTATTCTCCTAAAAATCAAACTATTTTTAACTATACAAATTATATACATATACATAATATACTTAATATACAAACGTAAAATATCACTCACTCGAATTGTTGGTAGAGCTCTTTGAACCCCACAGTTTAGTCCCAGACCAGACCCAAATACTATCAACTGAATGTGGCAACACCATGACTTGATTATCTAGACCAATTTATACATATGATACTACTACATACATACATATACGATGATGAAACAAACGGACATATAAGTTTATCATTAAATTATGCTATTAGTATATTTTATTATGTACATAGTTTACACGCACACACATACATACAAGCATACATACCACATACATACCTAATACATAATATAATACAAATAAATATACATACTATATAATACATATAAAATAATATACAAATTGACCAAACAATAATCAAAATTTTAACTTGTGATATAAAAAAAAAAAAAAAAGAAAATCCATTAAAAAAAATTTAAAATAAATACATATTAATTTTCCTTTTTTTTGTTTAACAATAAAAATCGTAACAGGTTTTTTTTTTTATTTTGTATAGTTTATTCTTTGTTGTTAATAAACGATCGATCGACTATCTCTTATATTTGTTATTGTTTATGTGTCATAATTTTTGTTGTAGATGTTTTTGTTGTTGTTTTGGAGTACAAGAACGCACACTAAGTTGTAGCTTTAAATAATTACATTTACAATAGTTATTCATAAAATAATCAAAGAAAACAAATCTATCAAAACAAAACGTAAACAAAACTAATCGATAAAAAATTCTTTTTGTTTATAATTTTTGTTGATAAGACAAAAACACACACACAACAACACACACACATATATTATGCGTATCATAACCATATGGGATATTACTAAAGAAATATACAAATATGACTTAAAATTAATATTAATAATATTAAGTAAACCATATTCAAATGTACAATGTAAAACAATGTAATGATTTAATGGCAAAAACAAAAAGAACAAAAAAATGCATATGAAATTGTATGAAATAAATTCAATAAATAAACCAAAGGAAGAAGATGCACAAGTTTTTATTTCAATTTAAATATTAACTTTATAAACGGTTCCAGTTGTTTAATATCAATGAGTGTTTGTCCTGCTTCTTTCAGCTTTTACTGCTGTCTCTTGCTGCCTGCTGTGACACCCAAAACTTGGTCCATGGTATATATATTTTAGAGGTTGGTAGGTACGACTACTGGTTTAAATAATTGTGACCATTTTATTGCGCTTTCCACAAAATATTCCTAGTTTTAATTAAACGATAAATTTGTTCAACACTATTTCGAGATTCGTTGGGTGTGACAAGCAATGGCCAAATTAGGAGCCTCCTGACTTCTTACAACGGAATACAAACTATGTCGGATTTTGAGGAATGCCTGAAATTGCGACAATTATATCTCTGTCCAAATTGAAGGCTTTAAAGAAGTGTAAAATTTGAAGAATTTGTGGTTTCCACAGGTACTTTTCCGGGAGGGCAACCCATGCGTAGAACGTGCTGGCCCCGACCACCGTGCAACCATGCTGCGCGTCCTGGGCACAGTGCTCCGATTGTCCGATGAAGGAACTTGAGGATCAGAGCCCATATTTCAGTGCCAAGGTTGCATTGTTGACACTGAAGTTTGGTAGTCCTACTGCTGGCCAATTCATTTGGGCTCTCAGGAGCTGTGGAAAATATAAACATTGATTTTTTCGTCTATGGATGAAAGCCAGATGCGTACCACAAGGGATACTTGATATGCTTGGCTTGGATCTCTCAATTTGACCTCGTATCAGCTTCATCGATTTGCCGTCCATACGTCCTGTGTCCAGACTGCACTTGCGGGACTGAAGCCTGGTAGTCCTCCTGCTGGCCGTCTCATCCGTGTTCCCTTACACTTTCAGCAGCTGCAAAATATATGAACATTAATGGCTTGTCTATGAGTAGGAAGCCAGAGGCGTACCACAATTTCTTTTTAAAGGTAATATGCTCAGCACCTATTCCTGAGTAACTGCAGAGTAACCTAGGCGGTACGATCCCCGCATGGATTGGTCTCCCGGTAAAGGACGTTTGGATCCAACAAAATCCACAAATATTCCACTTCCTTAATGTCCTCAGTTGCGTTTAGACGTAAATATAATTTTCGCAATTCAAGGAATTTATCAATGTCCGACAAAGTTTGCATTCCGTTGACTTGAAGCGCAGCAACATCCCTGAGGTTGAAATTAAAAAATTTTCAATTTACGACCTTCTCCCGGCTGTGCCTGCTAGTTGTTCAACCGCTGCACCAGCATTGTCAAGGCTTTTAGCAACTGCGGAAAATATCAATATTACTGACCGAATCGCATTTGCCCCACAGGCATGTAATTTGGTATGGGTTGCGTCTAGTTTTCGCTTGGCGCTGGTTAATCTTGTTGGGTTTGCTTACCTGTGATGGCCTGTTTGTTCCATTTCGTACGAGCTTCGACGCTAGTTTCAGGAGAAAAAACAACGTATTTTGTGTTTCTTTGTATCCAGCCGGCAATCGCCTCTAAATTTTGTTTCTGAATTCTGAAATTGTCTGGTCTGTAAATTCAAAGGCGATCAGCTGTTCATGTCAGATGAAAACCTTGATGTTATCGATAGTTACATCAGAGGTACTATGTAATATAAGAAGGGTGTTCCACTTAAGCCATGAAGCGATAAGTTTATGGTCTGCAGTAGAAAATTTTTATTAAGTGTTTTCCGTGTCCTTTTGACCTTACCAGCAACAAGTGTTCTAAAATATCTCTTTTATAAGACACAATTCACAAATAAGACTAGACTGGTGGTGAAATTCCACTACGCTTATCGCACAAAACTATCGATTATGATAATCTTACCCAGTCGAAAAAATATTATATCCAAGTATCGATACATGGATTTCTATGTCCATCATCAGGTCTGATCTGTTTTTAAATTCACAAAATTCACATTCAACGCAAGTAACTTTTGCTGGCTGTCGGTTTTTCGAGGCAGAGCTGCGGCAAATCGAGACAAATTGTTGATTAAATCGCCGAGGTTCTTGTGTGTTAAATGCTCTGCCCCAAGCAGAGTAGTAACCGAAATCCGATCCACAAAAATTAAAATCGAGAATTAAGTAAGCCCGGAAGTGCGACAACAACGACAAGTAATACGAAAAGAAAAGAAAAGAAAAGAAAGAAGGAAATAGTCATATTCCTGCTTTTTGGCAGCGGGCCACAAGAATAAAGAAAGAAAAGTGCGCAAGAAAATAAGAAATAACAACTGCAATTGCAATTGCACGAAAATCAAATAAAATAAAAATACGGAAGCCAAGAAAACGTTGCAATTTGTTGAATGTACAAAAATCTATACATGTATTTGCGGTTTGAAAGTTCTTCTTTTGTGCAAAAGAAATAAAATTACTCGAAAGAAATACATCAACAGCATCCACAAGAAGCGAATCTCTCTCGCCGAAGCAGCAGAAGCAGAAGCAGAAAAAGAGAAACAAGAATCTTTGCTGCCGAATTTGTTGGTACATATATTCTCGTCCCCTGTTCCCCAAAACACCCAAAACTCGGAGAGATTTATGCTGAAGGCGCTTACACAAAATGGATTATAAATTCATTGTTTTTAATGCTGCCCGCGATAATAATCTGCCCCAATTGAAGGTGAGTTCATACATAAAAAAACGCCTCTCTCTCTCTTTGAGGTCTGTGAGTGGGTGGAAATGCTTGGCTTGAAAGCAGCGCTACAGCTTTCAATTCTTGCAGCCAGCAGTAGAAACATTAACAACAAACTATTGTATTATATAGAAATCTCAGCTGGCAGAGTGTTAGCCTTGTGACTAATCAATAAAGTTCTCACCAAAACACACACACATAATTCCTTCTCGTTCTCTCTCTCTCTCGCTGGCTGGTAAGCCGAACACGCGCATGTTCTGCCCACAGTGATGGCTAGTCGAAGATTTAAATCTAGCTGCAAAGAAGCTAAAATAATGGGGGATTTCTATTAAGATATGTTCACTGTTCCCTGTGCATATGCAAAAATGGACTGTTTCATATCAAAAGTGAAAGTGAGATAAAACCCTGAAATGAATTTAACCCTGAAAGGTCATTCACAATTAATTAAACTCTTGAAGATCATTGAAAAAGTATTTCTATGCCACCCTATTTGGGGCTAATTGATACACAGTGGTCACTCAGATATCACAAAGGGCCTCTCAGTGCCAAACAATACCATTCGAAATATTATAAAAGTGTAATGTTGATTCAGCTTTGTTGCTAAGGAACAGCGCTCATCTTTAATTTTGATGATATGCTAATTTTTTAGCATGTGCACTGGACTGGTTTTTAATTTTAGCCGGTTTTCTTTTTGCACATTTGCCTAATCTGGCAGTTCCACTAATATAAAAAGTAGTCATTTTACTTAACTTTTAAAATATATAAGCGAAAAGCTGCCGGAACTCGACTCAGGAGTATGAACTTGTTATCTGCGCGACTTCCTTAGCTAAATTTCTAGCTCTTTTATGCAAAAACCCGCTAAATGCATTGCTCCGCCGCCAAACAATAACAAATATATACATATATGTTTGCCCGCCTCGCGGTAACACCGTGTTTGTGGGCGTATCGAAGCTTGAAAACTTTTGCTTGCGACTGCAATACTTTTGGGGCTGAAGCCCGCTTTTTGCATAACAAAAGTTCAGCGTCTGGGTCTGGGCCTGAGCCAGAATCTGCCTTGGTTATGGGGACCATGCCTGGGGAGCCAGCCAGCTTGACATTGGCATACAGTGGCAGTATAGCAGTGCTAAAGTAAAACAGAAACTGAAAACCTGCTGCAATTGGCGCTGTTGCATTGAAGCAGGCCCCGCACTGTGGCTATTGCTGCATGTGTGGGTGGTTGGGTGTGGGTGTTGTTGGATAATTGTGGCTGTGACTGTGACTGTGCCTGTGACTGTGCCTGCGACGTGTGCATATTTATGATAAGTGTGGCCTGTGCCACTCTGACTCTGTATCTGCTATGATAAGTGTGGCTGCATTTAATTCTCTGAGCTTGTCTGACATTTCCAACAAATGATACGTGACATGGAAATCATGTAGTTCACTTGCTTGGAAAACTTGCTAATGAGCTCCGCTGGGGCTATTCCGAGCTGCAAATGGAAATCAATGGGTAGAATATTGCCCGTAATTTATTCTGTTCTCCTGTTTCAGTGTGGTGCGGGGATGGGTGGGACTATGCTTATGCACTTACGGGTACAGTGGTGCTTAGCATATTGCAAACACATCAGGCAGGAAGGAATTATGTTAATAACTAGCTTTAAACAAAAGGAGAAGCCATTTATCGAGCATTCTGCGGGTTTTAGGAGGCATCACCAAAGTAACATAGAATGCCCATGCTTGAAAAAAATTCTTCTGATAAAAATTCTAAAAAAGTATCACTTAAATAGGAGTAAATATATTTTAATTGGGTACCAAAATCTTATATTTTCCGTGAAATTAATTGATTTAGTGACCCTCTGTAACATATATTTTCTGATGTTAATACTTCGGTTACCATGGAGCCTCCACTGTGCTCCCCCCATTGCTCTATCAAAAGTCAAGCTTGCCTTGACACTGGTGGGCCACAAGTTAGAGCCACCTCCGAGCGTGCTTCTGCCCCATTTCAAATCTACCAACAAACGGTACGCTTCGTATTGAGTTTCCCGGTGTTTGTTTTGCATTTCCCCTCACCGCTGGCTTTGAATCATTTCCTTTGGCTGCGCTTATCTTATCAGTGGAGACAATGCTCGTATTCGCTTTACTTTTTGTTGTGGTTGCTTTTGTTGGTTAATGATGACTGCTCCAAATGCGTAGCAGGTATTTTTAGCAAATTTTATTTCGCTCTGTTGTTTTTGTATTTGGGCCACGTTGTGGCAGAACACGTTAATAACTGATGGACGGGCCAATTTTAAGAGCTGGAAATCACGTCGTCAAGTCAACGTGCGGGGCAGGCAGACAGGCAGGCTGACTGAACACAATTCACTTCCGCGTCTGTCAGAGACGGGCTTTTCGATTAACCTGCTCGCTCTCGCCTCTCTCTCTCTCGATCTCTTGGATTCTCTCGCAGCTGCAGCCATGCCCCCCCCCAGCAACGCCCACCAGGCTAACGCACTTTGCTTATTATTACGATCGTCAGAGCAGTGTGGAGGAGGGGGGAAAGCAGCGGCAGGGAAGAGAACAAAGAGCCGTTCGTTCCATTCTGGTTTTTTTTTTGTCTGTTGCTTTTGTGCTTCTTGGCTTCTACCTTCTGCCGCTGTGTTGACAATTATCCTTGAAAGCGTTCAATCACACGAAAGTTGAGGGAAGGCTCGGCTCGGCTCGGCTTGGCTATCACAGCCTCCAGCCCACCACAGTGGACACTCGCTAGAGGGAAGTGAATAAATATTAAAGAGATTTCAATTTGAATCCCATTTTTCTTTCTTTATATTGGGACTATGGTGAAACTCTCATGCTTCGGCGGGGCCCTAAGCTCTCCTCAAACGGCTTCGAATTATTCTAATAACAAAAGGTGCCACGAGTGTTTGACCTCTTTGAAAAGTAAAAACAAAGCACATTAACAAACGTGACTACAATTTGGAATTGTGTTCCCTTTTCTGTTCACTCTTTCGATCGTGCACTGTGTTCTCGTTTTTATTTCAACTTCCTGACTGACGGGTCGGTCTGTCGACCCTGGAAATGTGTCATTTATGGGGTGTGTGAGCAGTAGTCAGCGGCAAGAGGAGCGACGTACGGGGTATGTGTGTTCTGCCCCTTCAAAGGAATAATAAATAAATATAAATCGTGAGTGGGGATGGGGGGATATTGAAGTTGCCCAAAAATAGCTTCAAGTATTGGGGGGCTACTGCACTCAATGCTCCATATAGATATGTGAAGGGAGAGGCATTGACAGAGGGAGAGAGAGAGAGTCGAGCAACCTGCTTGGCTTCTCGACGTGCAACATGTTCTAGCCAGCCATACAGCCAGCCCCTCAACCTCATGGAACTGGTTTTTCTTGCTCTCGGCGTTGTTTATGTTTGTTCCAAAAATAAGAAACCTCCAGCCCCCAGCCCCCAACAACAACAACAACAGCTTCTCCTCCCTCCCTCCTCTCTCTCTCTCTCTGCCAGAAACAACACCTTTCGTATCGAGAGAGGGAAGAAACCATCTACGAAGTTGGAGTGCCACTTTATGTTGAGTACACACAACAAAATATTTCTTGATTCTTCCTCCTTCTTTTTTTTTCCCCCATTTTGTTTGGTTTTCTTGGCCGTACGTGATACAGCTCTAAGATCGAATGATTGATGAGGCTTCGTGGCGACGGCGCACGTAGGGGGTATCTGAGAAGTAGTTCAACGAAGTTCAGATCAAGATCTCCCCATAAAAAGATCGATGGTAGAGCAGACGGAACATAACCAGTGGACCAGTCAAATGCGAATGGGGGATGGGATTATGAACTGTGAAAAACGGTATCCATTAGGGCTCTAATCTACTTTGAAAGTATTTAAATTCATACAATTAAAGCTCTTCGAACAAGATCAAGACTCTCAGGTTCACTCACTTCCACGGCAAACAGGTTATAAATAAATTTATTACGCTCAACCTTAGGGTCCAGCGATTAGAGTTCAATGATCTAGGTAGAATAATTTACAGACACCTATGGAAAACAATTTAAACCTAAATCAAGCAAGAGATATAAATACACAATGAATTATACAATCATTATACTAAGTAATTACATTCTTGGGGATATGTCAAACCTCATAACAGGTATTCCTGGAATTCCTGGAATCTTCCCTTTCAGTCTGACCAAACGAATAATAAATCATTCAATTTTCAAATACCTTTAAACCTGCTTAAAGTTATCTATTTTATGTTAGTTGCTTTTAAGTTATGCATCAATCAATCACTTACTATCTTGCTAGATAAGATATGGTTTTTCTCTGGCAGCAGCTCCCAAAATCTATCCAAAGAATTAGATATTTATTATCATCAAGGGGGGGGCCTCAGCAATTTAGTTCATAATCATTTGTAAACCTTCAAGGTTTTATTAAAAACTGATTAATTATTCTCACGTAAGACTCATTAAATTTTAATATTGGTGTTGTGTTTTATAATTACATGCAAAAGTCCGAAAATCAAATTGAAGAAAAATGTTTTCTCAAGCCCCAATCAGGCAGCAGAGCGTTTTTCGACCGTTTTCAAAACATTTGCCAAGGCATAACATTACAGATAATTCGATGTACAATTTTTGTTTTCTGTTTTTAAGTCTCCTTTTTCTTCTTCTCTTGACTTTGCACAAGTTTAAGTTGTATGCAAAAAGAAGGAGAAACCGAAAACCGAAAAAGTGAATTTTTTTTAGTTGGTCAACAGCTGTTTTTTTTTTGGGGTTGAGGTTGTGATTCTTGTGCCTTGCAATTTACTGTTGCTGTTGCTGCTGCTGTTTTGGTCTGTTGCGAATGCACATACATATGTGTACTCTTATGATATTGTTCAGAACTTTGTAAGCCATGGAAGCAAGAAATATTTTGGATTTATCATCTAAGCCAGTTTTTTGTTTCAAATAAATATCATCCCATCTAAGTGGATCTGAATTTAACTTGTCAAATAGTCACTTCTTCCATGTAGACAAAATATCTTTAGGAACTATCCTCAGG